TTTTTTTTTTTTTACTCCCCTGGCTAGACTTCCGCACCGGTTTACATCTATAAATAATAATTTTTCATTGATGTGAGGTGATAGTTGAATTGGTTTTGTCATGCAAAACAACAGCTAATTAAACTCTCAGGACATATAAATCAAGAAAAAGTGTGTTATTTTCAACAATAGTTAGCAAGCCATAAGCAATAATTCCCCAAACAAATTAGCTGTGCTCAGTAAAGTTAAATGAATTAATAAATATGGTGATGAAAGGGTGTTACTGCAAAAAAACAGTAACCTGTAATTGTTACCATGAGGAGCTACACTTTTTATTTATTGATTGATTGATTGATTGATTGATTGAATAATCTAATTTATTTAGGGTGATTCAATCACCTTAAATACTTTAGACTTGAATACAAATATTAATCTAGATGTATATTAATTTAAATTCGATTTATTATTATTTTTTCCCTGTCTATATTTGAGGAAATGACAATACAGTATATAAAACTTTTTTTTTTCCTTTTCTGCAAAAGCCATTCATTATTATAAGTAAAACATGTTCCCCAAATTGTAGTTGACTCAACTAATGTGATGTGTCAAGCTTTACCTCAAAATGCAGGAAATAAATATAATTACTATTAGTAAAAATCAAACAAACAAATACATTCATTTATACAACTACCTGTTTAGACAATAACACAAACATGTATCAAGAGCAATACTTTGGTGGTACAGGATGAGAATTACTACAGAGTCTCCCTTATGAAACTTAATTGCTTCTTACACTATAATATTTGATTACCTCATATTTGATGTCATAATTCTGTTAAAGAATCAACACCATGCAACACCATGTTTATCCTTCATGTAAATGATCCTTCATGAATTTTTTTTTTCTCAAAATACCTTTTCTTATCAGTATAAATGCCACCTGCGTGGCCCAGTGAATCAGATTCATCAGCCTCCTGATGGTACTGCCACCAATGCAAATGACAGCTAACAGTTTAAAGACAGCTGGCAGGTCTCTGTACTTTCCCTCTCTCCTCCCTGAGGAGCTGGCAAAAGTATTGGCAAATCTATGAAACATAACTGATGCACAGACTGAGCTGTGATTGATTCTGCCAGGGAGAGGCAAGGCAGAGAGGAACGCCATTTCAAACACAACTTTTCTGGCTCCCATACCTCTTTGCGACAGAAAATCTATGCACGAAACGTGAGGAAATTCATGAGCGAAAGCGCGAAAGGGCAGAGTAGGTTCTTAACGAGCATTTTTTTTT